GTTGGGGGAGAAGTTAATTTGTATAGGGTTAAGATTCTGATATTGGGACTTTATACTTCAAAGGAGGATAAAACAATACTAAAACAAACTAATGATCTTTTCTTATGAAAATTGGTGTTTAATGGGAGGTTGGGATGCAATAATCTTCCCACAAATGAATAGAACTTTTGAGAAAAAATATTAAAATTACACAAGGTAATATTTTATTTGATGGACAGTTTAGAGCATGTTGATGCATGGAGGCATAAAATAATTCAAGGGAGTAGACTGTATTTTGAAAGACAGCTCTTTTTCAAGAATAAATATGATTTGGNTTGGTTTTAATATGCAAGTTTGTTTTTTAAATCAGCTTCCCCCAATCTGGATGGATTACCAGTCCTTAATTTCCATATAATTCTATCTGTAGTTGCCTAATTTAGTTGTAGTTGTGGGGTTGTAGCCTAGTACTCCTATTGTCAGCAGAATAGGGAAGGCTACTTTAAAGTGGCTGGAAAGCTCCCATTCCCATTAGATACTTTGATTCTTTAAAAAGAGAAAGGAAAAAGAAATAGATAAACATTGTAGGTGCTACAGTTAAATTAGTTGGCATTGCTGGTATCATAAGACCTGATTATTATACTGTATGGCTCATGTTCATGCCACTATGTCCCATTTGAAATAGTAATGGGAATTGTAAATGGAAAAAAATAAATATTTTCTCATGAAAATGTTATGTTATTTGTAGAGTGTGCAGGCAATTTCTTTATCATAGTCTTGAATGTTCTTACTGGAAACAACTAATGACAAAGAAAAACCATAAAAACATGTTCAGTTGTATAAATGGAGCTGTAGACAGAGGCACAGAAGAGAGTTAGTGCTATAGGGAGAAGCCATTTTTGGATGCATAATTCATTTTATTTTTGCCTCAGAGAGCTAGTTTTAGTACAAAAATGCACAAATACTTTTTTCTTACAAGTAGCCATAATGAAAGATGGGGGGGGGGGGGAGAGCTCAACCTCCCATCATGCACCATATCAGTTGGGAATTGTAATTGCTTCTTAGGAGAACTTGAAAAATAAGCCGCCTATGACCTTCATGTCACTATTCATAGCCCATTTTTGCAGCCCCATTGCTCCTCAGAATAGCCCTGAAAAAATTCTGAGCACAATTTTGGGAGACAGGCCTCAAGGAGAATGAAAAAGGGGCTCTAGAAAAGGATTTTGACTTTGCCCAGCCTAGTAACATCACTGTCTACACACTGCAGTACGGTAATCCTTACAGGTGGAAAAATATTCACTTTTACAAAGTGTAATTTGTAGGAGGCAAAATATTGTCATCTCAGGAGCAAATGGCTTCTGACTTTTGAATAATCAGCCAAGATGTCATTTCCCTCATAGCTTTCTTTTAGGCTTCTGTTTGCCACTAATGGGAAGATTTCCCTTTGATATGATTTGCCAGAGTGGTACTAACTTCTTCAGCTCTGTTTCTTGCTTCTTCATAAACAGCTCTAAACCACATCAGAAGAGAGTAGGCCGAGTAATCTCTCTGTTGGTCCATTGCCTCCGCTTAGTTAAAGAAGTGTCGGTGAATAAAAAGGATGTTACCATCTGTCTGTATTACTCCCACTTCCTCCATACGCATGAACTTTAAAGAAAAACGTTATACACAGAAAAAGCT